TTTGCGTATTTATACCTAGCAATATCAAAATTTAAGTATCTATCTATCTTTATATACTAAGTATATATATAATTGTTTTATATATATAGTATGTGCTTTTCCTTTTTGATATGTTGATATCTTAGTTTTGCATTTAATATTTTACTAGTTACATAGTTTGTAATGTGAATTCAAATCCTAATTTTTTGAAACAGAATCGAATCAAATTGAGAAACGTGGTAAGATTTGGCACAAACCATAAAAAATAATGTTAAACAATTATATATATATATATATATAAAAGAAAAGAAAACGAGCTAGATCTAACATTCCCTCTTAGAAGTTGTATTCTAGCATTTTCATGAATTAAAAAGGGGTCAAAATCCATCAGATCTAACAGTTTCAAGAATCACTTAATCGTAAATGTTAAGCGAATTGTGAATCATGCTAGATTCACCCATAGAAAAATAAAGACAGAAAAAATAAAGAAGAAATATTGAGATACAGTATTCCAATCTTTCAGATATTTTACTACCAGGTATAAGAGATATGCTATCCATTTTCTTTTTACTAGCTTTCTTCCTTTGTTCCTTGATGATGTCTGTGGCTTTATTAACAAACAAATTACTAGTTGTTCCATTCAACATCAACTTTGTTTTGCAGACTATTATAAATGTATTTTTCTCTGAAGTGTTTTTGTGTTTACCTAAGGTTACTCTAATTTAGTTAGGTAGCTATTATCATGCTCTTATTTCCTGATTTATTTGTGGGTGCAACATCAGTTCAATAAATAGGAATTATTAGTACTTAAATTGTTAAGATAGTGTATCCTGTATATGACCTAACAAGTTCCTGTAGGCAAAAAAATTGTCATTTTACTCTGAAAACATGAGACGGGGGTTTTCTCTTGATGACATTTTTGTACTGTATTGAGAATACATTGTGTTTTTGGAATTAACATTTCTATCTTTATCTTGAATTAGAAATTGGATAGCTTACCACAGGCCTGGTAAGTTCCTTAAAGCAAAATGACATAAAAGAGGTTTCTTAAGTGGCCAGTCATCACCTCACCACATACCATGGAAATTATGCAACTCGAAATGTTGAATTTTGAAGTTATTGTATAGCATATTAGCATGACGAAGGTTGCACTTAGGGGCCTGTATCTTCCAATGCTCGTCGTTTTGGGAAACACCCATTAGTTTCATATCATTTTAATTTTTATGTGAAAACAATGTTTAAAGTTTCATAAAACTATTTCAAAGTGTTTTTAAAGAATTGATGTTTTAAGAACTCCTCGCTTGTTTGTTTCAACAGAAATTCCTTGTGGGAAAGTGAGAAACGAAATATATTTGAAGAGATCCATCATTGATTTTGTAATGTTGTCATACCAAACTACTAAGTATCTTGTGGAACTTGCTGTGAATGGTTCTAATATTTTTTTTTTCTTGTATTATGATTGTATTAAGAGTTTTCTTGATCATCTTATCTTGGTCTTGTTTTGTGTGAAACCATAGGTGCCTGAAAGAGTCAATTTCATCTTTTTCACTTGTGTGAGGATTTTTCATGCAATCTTTCATTTGTGTTCTTGATTTTCTTTTTGTAGGAATCTCCAATACAGTTGGCTGGAAGGCAAGTTTACATAGAAGAGAGGAGAGCAAACATTAGCGGTACTTCTCGAGGAGGCAACATGTCTCTCAAACTGCTTTTCCTATTAATTATAATTTTTTTTTCATATTAATTATAATGATGAATTGGTCTAAATTACTTTGTTTTGAAGTATTCATTTTATTGTTCCTTACATGTAATTTGATCCATTAAAGGAAACACTTATCAAGGGGCTAAATCCCTATATTACTTTGTGCAATACTCTTTGACAATGCCTGCAATTGATTCTTAGTGTGGCCTTCTGACATTTTCCTTTTTAATAAGCCGCAAAGAGAATGTTTTCCTTAATTAGAGCACATCATATCCATCATTCTTGACGATGTCATCTCCCAACAAAATTTTACACTTTGACCACATCAAATTCCTAAGGGGAAGCTATGTTGTTTAAAATGACTTGTGAACTCTTTAACTATTTTTGAAAGTTCACTGGGGGAAGGATGCGGAAGAACTACATTTTTCCTAGTTTTAAACTTGAAAAATACATCATTTGTAGCATAGAGATAATTGATAATTGTAGTGGGAATTGTGTAATTTTCATTGAGGTCCTTTAAGTTATAGGATATGGCATGCAATTAAGCTTTGACTATCAGCTATATCCATATTTGTAGCTTTCTTTGGTTGCAAATCTGGCACAAATTTGGCAGGTTTTTTTTTTTTTTTTAAAAACTATGGTTTTTTAAAACTATGGCAGGTTTGGCTGGTACATTGTAGCGAAGTGAGTTAAGTGATATGAGTTATAAAATAGGGTAGCTAGTGTTATAGAGGGTCTTTTTTTAGGGTTAAGCATGTAAGGCCTCAAAGCACTTTCTAACTGTTTGTCCATGTAGGTTCCAAGCTGGTTCTTTTTTACGGAATGTGTGTTGAACGTAAGTGAGGCAAAAGTTAGGTGAGTTGGTGTGTTCCCTTCTCTTTGAGGGTTGAGTGGCGTGAGCTTTCAAATATATTATATTTTGTTTGCACGTACACAGCTGGTCCTTTTTTAGGGATGTTGCTGTTGAGGATTGAGTGACTGAGTTATAAATTGTTGGTTACACTACAAGAAAAGTGGGCTTAAAAGACGGAACTTTTTGCGACGGCACAACTTGCCGTCGTGAAAAAATGTGACTTTTTGAGACGGCACAACTTGCCGCTGCAAAAAATAGAGTATTTGTGACGGCAGAAAATGCTGTCATGAAAAAGGAGAGCATTTGCGATGGTAGAAATTGCCGTCGCAAAAAAAATAGAGTATTTGTGACGGCAGAGATTGTTGTCGCAAAAAAATAGAGTTTTTTGCGACAGCACAAGCTGCAGTCGCAAAAAAAAAAAAAAAAAAGAGTTTTTTGCGACTGTAATAGGTACCGTTTCAAAAAAAAAAAAAAGAAAAAAAAAAAATATTGTGGCTTTGAGACGACTTCATATATATATAGTCACAAAATGGTTTAAATAAAGGAAAAAAAAATATATATATATATATATATTGTAGCTTTGAGACGGCTTCATATATATATAGTCACAAAATGGTTTAAATAAATGTAACGGTATTTTTCTGTCACAAAAAAAAAAAATGTCGTCTTATTCTTTTGATATAACATTTCTCTTTTCACCCATTTTTTCATCTTTCTATCTCTCTGTCTCTGTCTCTCTTCTCTTTCTCTTTCTCTCTCTCACTCATCACTCTTGTCTGTCTGTCTGTCTATCTCTCTCTCTCTCTCTCTCTCTCTCTTTTTCTCTCTGTGTCTCTCGCCCATCTTTCTTCTCTTTATCTCTCTCGCTCATCTCTCTCTCGTTTATCTCTTTTCGCTCTTTTTCTCTCTCTCTCTCTCTCTTTGTTTGTCTCTTTTCACCCATTTTTTTCATCTTCCTCTCTCTCTTCTTTTTTTCTCTCTCACTCATCACTCATCTCTCTTTGTCTATCTGTCTATCTGTCTGTCTCTCTCTATCTCAGTGTGTGTCTCTTACTCATCTATCTCTTTTCTCTCTCTATTTCTTTCGCTTATCTCTCTTCTCTCTATCTCTTTCATCTCTATTCTCTTTTTATCTTTCTCGCTCATCTCTCTATCTCTCACTCTCTTGTTCATCTTTCTTCTCTCTATGTCTCTCTCGCTTATCTCTCTTCTCTCTATCTCTCTCTCTGTCTCTCGTTCACCTCTCTTTTCTCTCTATCTCTTTTTCTGTCTTTCACTCTCTATCTCTTTCTCTTTCTCTCTGTTTCTCTCTCTCTCTCTTTGTCTCTCGCTCATCTCTCTTCTCTCAATCTCTCTTATCTCTCTTCTTTCTCTATCTCTCTCTCTGTCTCTCTCCCTCATCTTTCTTCTCTCTCAATCTCTCTCTTTTTCTATGTCTTTCTCTCGATCATCTATTTTTACTCTCTTTCTCTTTCTCTCTCTCTCTCTCTTTGTCTATCTCTCGCTCATCTCTTTTTTCTCTCTTTTTTCTGTCTCTCTCTGTCTCTATCTCTTTCTCTCTCTGTTTCTCTCTCACTCATCACTTTTCTCTCTCTATATCTGTCTGTCTGTCTGTCTATCTATCTATCTCTCACTCTTCTCTCTCTTTTTTTTTTCTCTATGTTTATCTATCTGTCTCTCTCCCCCATTGTGTTCACCTTGTTCACTCTCTCCCTCCCCTCTTCTCTATTTATCGAGCTCTCCACTACAAGAAAATACACTTTTAGTGACCACTTTGTTTCTCTTTCTCTCTCGCTCATCACTCTGTCTTTGTCTTTATCTCTATCCCTTTTCTCTATCTATCTCTCACTCATCTTTCTCTCACCACCCATCTCCTCTACCATATTCACCACTATTGCAAATGTCATTCCACTACCACCATTATTACCATTGTTGCCACTCCACCTCTACGACTACCATTACTACCACCATCGCTACCACTCCACTACCGCTACCACCACTGCTACCACTACTACTACTACTACTACTACCACCTCTCCTCCACCACCGCCACTTCATCTCCTCTACCACTACCACAACTTCACCACTAATCTCCTTCGCCATCGCCATCACCACCACTACCACAACCACCTCTTATCCACCACCTTCACCACTGCTGCCGTTCCCTCTTCTCTACCACAAAAAATTAGCTCTTGATTTTTAGTAACAAAAAAAAATTGGGCCGCAAAAAAATATTTTTCATTGACCATAAAAAATTAACTTTATTTTAACGAAAAATATTTTTCATTAAAATATTACCCTTACTTCTACCAAATAAAAAAAAATCATTAAAATAAAAATGAAACAAATAAATTTTCAACCTTAGTAACTAAAAAAAATACAAAAAAAATAAATAAATTCATTAACTACAAAATTTTCATTAAAAATTAAACTTTTCACAACGTATAAAAAGTTAGCCGTTAAAAATATTTAACTTTACATGATACTCAATTTCTATCGTAAAAGCTATGATCCAAAAAAAAAATAGCGCCAAAATTAAAAAAATTCAGGCGCCAAATGCCAAAACAAATATTAAAAAATATATATATCAAAATACATTAACTTTTGGCTTCTTCTGACTTCTTCTAATAAAAAAAAGAAAATAAAAGGGTCCATCGAAAGGCATGTAAAAGAGAGGGAGCGGGAGTGAGAGACAACGGCCAGAAGCTCCACCACCGCCATCGCCACCGCAGCCCACCGATATCTTTGCACAAGAGGGCATCAAATCGGGTATTTGGACATCAATCAGAATACCCTCCAATCTTGTGAAGAGTCGGCGATTAGGTAACTAAAAAGCTTTTTTCTTGAATTTTTTGATTTGTTGTTTTGTCTAATGCCCACCATGAACCAATGAGGACAAAAACCAAATGCAGAAAATTAAATACGATGCACAAAATTGCTTCCTTCTTCTGTTGCAGAAATCCCAATGTAGGTTTCTTTCCCCCTCTCTTCTTAGCCTTCCTCTGTTTTGGAGTTGTTTATGCGAATCGTATATGTGAATCGTATCTGTAATTGGGTTTTTCTTACAAAAAATCAAACATTGGAATCTAGTTTTTTTTTTTCCCCTTCAATGTGATCTGGGTTTTGCTTTATTTTTCGTCTTATCCCAAATGTTGTTTTCCTCTCACGTTAAGCATTGGATTTGACGTAGCTGAGCTATTTTATGACTGTTATTCATACATCCACCTCCATTATTGGGTTTCTTTACACTGTCATTTGCTTTTTGAAATCTTGATTTCTTTGAGTTTAAAAAAAGGGGAAAAAAGAGAAAAGAGAAAGAAAGAAAGGAAACAAATCTTGTGAGATTATTATTATTATTATTATTATTATTATTATTATTATTATTATTTGGAAGGATTCGGGGGATACCTGCTGCCCTTAAGGACATTAGTTACTGCTGCACCTTTAAACTGCCACCTTTTGGTCAGGCCATGACTTTTCCTCTTATTGTCTTTGTGTGAACCATTATGCTTTCCAAAGTTTGAAAAGCTATTTCCTGAAGGATCTGTGCTCTTTAATATAGTAGTTGTAAAATAAGAATTAAGAGCAGAAATCTCTCACACTCAAGGATGGAGTGGGGACTAAGGTATGTATAAAAAAATTTAACTTAATTTTAATACATAATAGAATTTGTATTTGTTCAATTCATTTCTTAATGGGTTTGAATTTTGTTTTTTTTATAAATAAATCTTTGGGTTTAGTTTGATTATTTGATTAAAAAAACGTCAATTGATGGTGTTTGATTACAATTCTAGATTCTAGATTATTTGATTTTTTCAACTTATTTAACTCAGAAAAAGTGAGATTACTTGTAATTTTTTTCAACTTAGGAATGTGCTTGAATTCATCTAAAATTAAGTGGAATAGGTTTGAATTTTCCATAGTGGTGGAGGTTGTGCCTCTTTGAGTTGGTTCAGATCATGATTGTTTTGTTGTGGTTATGCCTCTAATTGGGTTGCTTCAAGCCATGATTTTTTTTGTTTGGTTGTCAGGTGGCATGAGAAGTGTCACTCTTCATGGTTTTCATGAAAATATTGTTGGCTTTGGAATTTCATTCTTAATTTTTTTTAATACAATTCCAAAAGGATGTAGCCATGGCTAGAACTCTATTTTTGTGTATATAACCTACTCTACTACACAATTTAATTAATTGAAAAAGTTGTGGGTGGGTTTACTGAATCCTGTAGTAACTAAACATACGCGACGCGACTTCATCTATAAGAGTGCTATATTTATCAATTTCTACAAATGTTGCCAGACTTCAGGATATCTGAAATGGTCATAACCGAGAAAATCCACAGAAATTGTGCAATATATCCGTAGCTTTACCTAATAAAATACAAAACTAAATACCAAAAAAAAGATTGAAAAAATAAAAAACATGGAGAGAAGTTGCTGAGTGATCACAGAAGCATAACGTGTGCAGAAAAGGCAAAAGATCATAATAAAGTAAAAGAAAGCAGAATTAAAGAAAAAGAAAAAAAGTAACCATTGTAGAACAGGTTCCTACAATGAAGCTGGAATGTTCCTGAAATAGAAGCTCCCATGTAAGAGGGAAGTTTGTGGTGTGGCACACTGGCCAGCTACCTAGATACTGGACATTTGAGCATGTACATTTGAATTGTCAAATGGATTGATACTTGAGGAAGATATTGGAGTGACACTTTGGAGCTACACAAATATTTATAATAAGGCTACTCCTTTAATTTAAACAAGTTTGAGGGGTGTCTAGGATTCCCAGTGTTGTGGAGTGGGTTTGAATCCCGGAATTGGCCTCTCTACAAACAGTTTGGGGAAGGTTGTCCGCTTATTCCTATCCTAGACCCTGTTCTGAGTAGGGAAACTTATGCATTGAGTACAACCCTTTTTTATTTGTAGGAAACTAAGAGAAATATGATGGTGGAACTTTGGGCATCATGGTGCTGTTATTATTATTATTATTATTAATTCTATTTGTTGCGTTTAAAATTCTTCAGATGAGTTTGAAGCACAAATTTATTTGTTAGGAGGAAAAAAAAAGGTATAAGGTTTGAACTGCATCATTGAACAATTTTAAGCTAGTAGCATTTTCTTTTATTTGTTGAACATACTTATAAAGCTCTTGGAACATATTAGAGGGTTCTCACAAGTCATATTGGTGTTAATTCTTAGCTTGAAAATGCCTCTTTACCTAAAGGATACATTAATCTCTTGTAGGTGGAATCAACAATAGAACACATTTGTCGTCATAATGGTGATGGAGCCATTCTTGTATTCCTCACTGGTTGGGATGACATTTCTAAGCTGCTTGAAAAAATTAAAGCAAACAGTTTACTTAGAGATCCCAACAAGTTTTCTTGTTCTTCCTCTTCATGGTTCAATGCCTACCATCAATCAATGTGAAATTTTTGATTGCCCACATGCCAATGTGAGGTATCCATCTTTCTTGTTGAGGTTCTATCTTTTGGTAAAGATTTATGATGTTTTTTTATTTTTTATTTTTATCCTTAGCGAATGAATTAAATTTATTTTTAGCATTTGGATTTTTTCCAAAGTCATGTATTTTTTCTTGTCTCTTCAATTGCTTAGCTGTGTACTCAAACTTATGGTGATTCTCCATCAAGGATAGTTTTTTGTTATTCTTTTTTTGTTTTCTTCTTCTTTTCACTGTTGGTATTGGTGTGCAAATATACAGAAGACAACATAAGTTAGAAGATGCACTCGGATTTTCATTAAATAAAATTTCATTTTGTCGGTAAAAAAAATATTAGAGCCATAAGCTCTATGTAACACTTTCCTAAGCTTGATATTTGAGACGAAGTAGAATGTATATGGATTGTTGAAAGTTGAACATGTAAATCAGAAAGAGAGGAAAAGAGAGGGATGGGTGAGAGGGGATGGGCATTATCTGAGATGAAAGTCGTGAGGGAGAGAGAAGAGGCTTGATGGTGGGATATAGTGATTTTTTTTTAAGGATATATTGTGTGATGGCCTTCTAGTGAATTCTGTGAAAGTGAGACCAATGGTGTGAGATAGTGAGATCAACGCTTAGTTGTAGGGAGTTTTAAGAGAGAGCAACAACTAATATTTTTGATTAGCCCTTGTGCCAAAATAGTATTTACATGTGTGGAGTGATATTTCCAAACTTCGATACTTTGACATCGTACAATGTCAAATTAGAGCTTCGACATTGTTATTTTGGCATTCACCAATGCAAATGCACTTATTATATAAAAACATTTTAGTTTTTGAAATAATAGAGACAAGTATACTTCATTAAATAACAATGTTAGAGTCAGAAATTTAATTCAAAAATTAATAAAAATTGAAGTGTGTAGATAACATGACTCACTATGTACTAAATTTAGATTTAGACAGTATACTTTATTTTTCTAATCACTTTTTAAATTACTTGACTTTTTAAAAAATTAATACCAAGCGATGCCTAAGTGTATATATATACATACAAGTACACACAAATATAGACAATACGATCACCTGTGTATGTATGTAGTTTTCAGTAGACAAACTTACTGTTTTGGGATTTAGAGCTGGATTTCACTCCAGACAAATTAGTTTCTTAAGAAATTTAGAATTCGAGGTGTTAATGTCCTAAAATTACCAAACGGCGTCGGATTAGCATGAAACTTGGCACACACGACCGCCTTGACACGAGAGACTTGTGGGAGAAGACGGGACTCGAATCGGGTTCCCAATTTGGGAGTTAGAGCTGGATTTTACTATAGGAAAACTAGTTCTTTAAAAAACTTAGAATTCGAGGTGTTAACGCCCCAAAATCACCAAACGGCATCAGATTAGCACGAAACTTGGCACACACGACCGCTTTGGCACGTGGGACTTGTGGGAGAAGATGAGACTCGAATTGGGTTCTCGGTTTGAGAGTTAGAGCTGGATTTCACTTTAGGCAAACTGTTCTTTAAAAAAACGTAGAATTTGAGGTGTTGATACCCCAAAATCACCAAACGGCGTCGGATTAGGACGAAACTTGGAACACACGACCGCCTTGGCACGTGAGACTTGTGGGAGAAGACGGGACTCACATCGGGTTTCCGGTTTGGGAGTTAGAGCCGGATTTCATTTTAGGTAAACTAGTTCTTTAAAAAACTTAGAATTCGAAGTGTTAACGCCACAAAATCACCAAACGGCGTCGAATTAGCACGAAACTTGGCACATGTTGCACGAGAGACTTGTGGGAGAAGACGGGACTAGAATCGGGTTCTCAGTTTGGGAGTTAGAGCCGGATTTCACTCTAGGCAAACTAGTTTTTTAGAAAACTTAGAATTTGAGGTATTGACACCCCAAAATCACCAAACGGCGTCGGATTAGCACGAAACTTGGTACTCGCGAACGCTTTGGCACGTGAGATTTGTGGGAGAAGACGAGATTTGAATCGGGTTCCCGGTTTGGGAGTTAGAGTCGGATTTCACTTTAGGTAAATTAGTTCTTTAAAAAATTTAGAATTCAAGGTGTTAACGCCCCAAAATCACCAAACGACGTCGGATTAGCACGAAACTTGACACACACAACTACCTTGGCACGAGAGAGTTGTGGGAGAAGACAGGACTCAAATTGAGTTCCCAGTTTGGGAGTTAGAGTCGGATTTTGGTCTAGGCACAATTATTTACTTAATTATCTTTCTAATTGTATAGTAGTTAAATTTTTATGTTTTTTTGTAATTAACATATTAACACATAATTATGTTGTCATTAATTATATTTATTTTTTGTTTTCAGATATTTCTCGAGTAGGAGTTTGTTTCTTGTGGAATGCATGTCTGTGAAGAATGCAACTAATTTTTGTTTTTGTTACCCATGGAGAATGATGAGCAAAATTTATAATTTTGGTTTATGTTATTTTGAATTATGAATAACATTACGTATTTAAACATTATATATGTATTATGGAACATTATGTACTGGGTTAATTTTGTTAATGTATAGTTATGAATGCAAGGATATGTTTATTATGGAGAAATTATTATTTTTATACAGGAATTTTTATATTATTATGCAATTATTGGTTTTTTTTTTAAAAAAATTTCATTGAATACAGGTAATTTTAATATTTTTAATTAATTTACAGTAGGTTTTTTTTGTTTTTTTTGCGATGGCACCAAACTGTCGCAAAAAATAGGTATTTTATAATTTTTAATAAATATTGCATTTTTTGCGACGGCACCACAACGTCGCAAAAAATCAAAAACCTTTTTTGCGACATAATCAATGCTGTCGCAAAAAGAAATATGCTGTCGCAAAAAAAAAAAAAAATTTTGCGACAACAATTTCTACCTTCTCAAATAATATTTTTGGTGACGGTAAATAGTGCCGTCGCAAAAAGGTCTATATTTTTACACGTTATTGGTGACAGTAAAATGTCATCGCAAATAGTAACATAGTCGCTAAAAAGTTTTTGCAACGCTCTCTATTGTGAGCCCCCTTTTGCTGTCGCTAAAAGTCATTTGCCATCGCTAAAAGTTTTTTGAGACGGCATAATGAGTATTTGCGATGGCATTTTGCCGTCGCAAAAAATTGAAATTTTTGTAGTGTTAGTTCTTGTGTTGTTCTTGGTTGTTATCATTTTGTTATAGAGTGGTTCCTGAGTGTCTGTGGGTTGAGTGACTCAGCTATAAATAAGGACATTACCTTGCTTCTCAATGTTTGTTGAATACTCCCCTGTGGTGTTGATTGCTTGGCCTTTCAGGATCTCTTTGTGGAGGTAGTTGGCAAGTTTCCATTTTTTGGGGATTTCTTCTAGTTGTTGTAGCTGGGCTTTCTTGTTTTTATCTCTTGTTGCTCCTCTGATTGGCTCTTGTGCTACTACTACTGTTACTGCTGTGCTGGGGGGTTGCTCCTGGGCTGTCTAAGCAGTGTGCTTCTGCTTTGAGCTGTTATGGGATTTGTGCTGCTTAGGCAGTGTGTTTGCTGTATGTGTATTGTTGCTCTGAGGCTGGTTTTTGTTGTTGATGTCCTATTGAGGGCTCCCTTTGTCTGCAGTTGTAGTGTGCTACCGTGCAGCCTGTGTTGTGTTTTTTGGAGTGTGCTGCTACTGGTTTTGCTTAGGTTCAACTGGAGCTGGTCTCAATGAGCTGTTGCTGGTTGTGGTTGTGTGTAGCTGCTGTTTGGGCTGTCATGCAGCTTTGTGGCTATGGTTTTTTATTTGTTTCTGGTTGGGTTCTGCTTTCTCATGTGGGCTATACATGGTGTCCTAGTTTGTAGATGGGTTACTCTCCTATTTTAGTTTGTTAGTCATCTGGCTTTCTATGGTTCTTGGTCAGTTTTTTTTGATGGTTGCCATCTTTTCTTGTTTTTTAGTTTTTTTTGCTTTTGTTGGCTGCTCTATTTGTATACCTTTTAGGTCCTGGGTCATACCCCTTGTATTTGTGTATTCTTTTGTCTCTTATATTATGACTTATTCACCTAAAAAAATAAAATAAAATAAAAAAATCCATATTTGTTAAAATATTACGTGTTTTACTATGTTATAGCCTAGTGGTTTACGTATTTATGGATTTTTCTTCTCATTTTACTTTATGACTAAGTTCGATTTATGCAGGTTAAAGAAGCAGGAACTAGCGTCATTTGCCAAGTCAGATGAAGATGTCTTCCGTGCTATAGAACAATCTGTAAAGAGAGATTTTAGGGTGAGGAAAACAGTAGAGGTGAACATAGGGTGCACAAAGGTGGTGAACGTAGGATGCACTCACAACAAAATATTTAGGTAAATTTTGTATGACATTATTAATTTACTCATTTGCATTTTTCTCATGCTTCTGCTTTTGTTTGCTTGCTTGCTTGCTTTTCTACTCAAGAGTTTTTGTCAAATTTTCATATACATCTCATATTGTCTACTAAATTTGAGTAAACAAATATAACTTGATATTGTATTACAATTTTTTTAGGCTGATGAAAACAATGAAGGCGATGAAGATATTTGGATAAATTTTATATGGCATTAATAATAACCTTAATTTTGTCTTCAATTCATTAGCTTATCTTATGTATTGCTTTCATGATAGTTGCATGATGCAAATGATACTGGAAATGGTGGATCTTTGGACAATGCTAAATGTAAATTGTTGAATTGGGATGGAACAAAAGCGGTGGTTGTAGAAGACACAATTTCATCAACAGATTCTAAAGCATTGGTACATCACATGCCTCTTGGCCTTGGGTGTTGGAAAGTATGGGTTAACCATATTATAGTCAATGCGCCATTGTTTCGCCCTAATCGTGAGATGTTTGTGCTCGAGAATGCTATTGGAAGCACTGTTGCTTGGCCAACCCATTTCATTAGCTTTGACTTTGAGTAGAAATCCTAACATCTATGGATAGTTTTTGAGGACTTTGATGAATAGATTTCTATAATCATTGGATAGTTTTGGGTAATGTTTACAAACTTAAATATGTACAGTTTTGGATGGTTTATAACTTTTTGGATAATTTAGAACTTAAGGATAGTCCTTTTGGATGTTTTTGAACTTGCGGTTAGTTTTTGGATGTTTGGAATGTATGTATTGACAATTTTTGAATGTTTATAATTTATGGATATATTTTATTTTTTATGGTTGAAACAATATTTTGGTGGTTGATTGATATTTTGTGAAGCTTGTTTGTAATATTAGATTGAACAAAACATGTCAAAATAAAATCTACTGAATTTAAAAAAAAAAATGCACATTCTATGTCAAGCAAATTAGGCCATTATATGAAATATTCCACAGCATTCTACGAATGCTGTGGTATGTCCTACTTATCTATGACAGGCTAAGCAAGTTGTTGTATTACATATTTTACGGCACACAATCAGCGTCGTTATTGGTCCCACCAAATAACGGCATGCAAAAGTAGTCATAGAAAAAGTAACAATGACGCACAAAATCTGCTATTAAATAGCTTTTAACGACGTACTATAGCATGTCGTTGAAAGTGAATGACTTTCCATGATTGGTCATAATATGACGTGACGCTGCACATTATAAAAGGGTTTTTACGGCATGCATTTGGCGCCGTAAAAACCCTTTTCTGTTGTAGGGCCAATGAGGGTTTTTGGTTTTTCTTATTTGTTTTGAATTGTTGTGTTTTTTCAGTGCCACTATTCTGTCAAAAGTGGGATACTCATGATCATGTCATTGGCAAGATGGAACCAAATTATTGATGGTGGGATTAATGGAGTTGGATGATGGTTTTGATGAAGATGCATTTTGATGATACTTTACGTATGAATGATTGAGAGAATTTTTTAAGCACTATTTCCCCTTCTCCATATAAAAAATACGTTATGTATTTTTATGCATCTCATTTATGTATTTTGATGACATTTTCCTTCTCGGATTAGATCTCTTTTTGTATGAATGATTGAGTACTTTTATGCATTATTTCCCTATCTCCATATAATGTTATATGATGTGTTGATTACAAGACATATTGGATATGTAAAAATTGTGATTAGCCTGATGCATGTTAGCAAGAGCTGAATTAGCTTGATGCCTCTTTCTTCGAGCTTTAAGGCTTCAAGAGCAGTAAGGGATGTTCATATTAAATGTATTGATAAATTTGAGCCATATGTGTTCTTATACAAATTTTCAATTAATTATCCAGCTATGCTTAGAATCGGGAAGAATAGAGAGAGAGAGAGAGAGAGAGAGAGAGAGAGAGGGGGGAAAAATGGCGTTTTTCTTAAAAATGCCACCAAATGATGTCACTTGTGAGTCTATTCAAAAAAAAGAAAGGTGGTGTTTTTTAAGAAAACGCCACTAAATGACGTCATCATGATGTCATACGTTAATTTTGATGGAAATTTAAACTGGCATCAAAGATTTTGCCTATTGTCTTTTGCGATGTTTTTTAAACATTGCGAAACTATTACAACGGCCGCATCAGCGACGAAAATATTAAACGTCGTAAAAACCAATTGTGGCCTTTTTTAGGCCTACACCGCTAAAAGTCAATTTTCCTATAGTGTACTATTAGATATGGTTACTATACTTAAATATTCATTATAAGTTTCAATCTTTTTCTCTGTTTTAAATATTGTGAAAAATAAGGATTTTATTATAATTTTGTAGAAGAAAAATAAAATTAAAAGATTAGTATGAATAAACCTGAGTGTTTTTTATTGATAGCATTTTTGTTAATATATATGTAGAAAGAGATAAAGAAAGAAACCTGCCGACCAACTTTCAGAACAAATACTTCAAGTAGTGTCATGAATGACTAGGGAAAAATTTATTCGTTTCGTTATAAGGTTTTAATTTTTTTTTTTTAATTTTCAATATGCATATTTTGTTTTTAGTAAAAAAAATTTAAAAACTTTAATAATTTTTTATTTTTATTTTTTAGATTAAGTTAATATGTACACAATTAAAAAGTAGAATATTTGTAAAAAAATCTTTAAAAATTTAACAAAAACCAAAAATATATATTTATAGTAATAATTAGGAGCACTTTCGGTACGATGGAATAAGCTAGAATGTAATGCCTATTCTAGCTTTATATTTCCTTTCCCTGGTTTGGTATGTTTTATTTAAGTGAGAGTAGTTATTCCATGGACATGTCCATTCCAACAAAAAGTGAGAATACCTATTCTATATGGAAAGCTAAGGAATAGCTATTTCATTCCAACATGGAATCATCATAAAATAAAATAACGATCTCTCTCATAAAAATAAAAAACAAAACGATTGTTTCAAGAAAAAAAAATTCTTCTTCTCTCTCTTCAATCTCTCTCTACGAATACTCTTATATACTAAACAATCAGCTATAGCCGACTCCATTATTCTTTTATCAGGTTTAATAATATATATATTTTTTAAAATATATTTCAATTTATTTAGATGTTAGTTGTAAGGCATATATATATATATGAAACTCTATGAAATCACATTCAATGTATAATAGAACATATATATATATATATATATATGTATCATGTTTTTATTTTTTATTTTTATATATAGTTTGTTTGTATTTTTTTTTATTTAAATTTTGTCTCACATACACAAAATTGAGTGATTTGTATCTTCCTTTTTTTTTTCTTTTTTTTTTCCAGGTGTACTAATTTGAAAAATTAATTTTTATTCCATATATAAACACTGCACAAGTCATTGTTATTTCTTGTTGACAGATTAAAAAATTCTTGCCTAAAAGACAATACTGATTTTTTTTTAATATTTTTTTTTAATTTTTAAGTGTATGTATTTACTACAATAAGAAATATAAAATGAACAATACAAAACATCAAAACAATATGTTTATTGTACAAGCACGAAATAATATTTATCGTATAATCCTGTTGAGCAAAATTTTGCTCCTCTAAACGTCGTTGTTCAATCACCTGAAAATCCAAACATGAGCTAGTCGGCGGGTGTGTGCCAAAAACCCCTTCGATGCCTAAGTCAGCAAGTTGACAAAAGACAAAAAGCTTTGTGAATTGGAGAGTAAGAATTGCAATACCTAAGATTAGGGTTTGGTTTGAGCTATTATGGATTCTGTATGGCACAATCCTAATAGGACTCTAACTCTCCTATGTAGAGTCCCCCTAGGAATTACATTTCCAAAGGATAATGCTTATCCTTTAACACCCTCCTCACTGTAGGCTAAGTGAGATGGGACTAGTCTTTTCTCAGCTTTCTGCCGTGCAACCAGACTACTTTTGTTCTGTCTGCCAATGACTTTCTGTCGTGCAACACGCAGCGTCGTGCAATGTTTGCACAACGCGCCACTAAGCTAACATTGCGTGGCTCTCCTCCTAACTCAGCTCTCCTCTCTGTTTGACTACCTTTCTTGATAGCTTGGCCATGGCGTTAACCGCCACTAGGAAGTAGATAGGTCTAGAAATATGGGCATTTACTAGTTCGGTCAAATATCTTTGATTGCCACTAGGAACAGCTAGATCAAAAAATATGGGCATTTACTAGTTTGGTCAAACATCTTTGATCGCCACTAGGAAGTGGCTAGGTTTAGAAAAATAGGAATTTACTAGTTCGGTCAAACATCTTTCACCGCCACTCCAACCTAGCTCGACCCAATTTGGCTACACAAATTACTCACTTAGTTGCTCCTTAATTCCATATGCAGTGCATGATTCAGATTACTCTATCCAACCGAGCTACTTTATCCCTTCCAACCGGCTCACCAAAATTTCTCAATCATAGGTTTCTTGTAGTTGGACAATCTTGCCAACCTACTTTGCCGAGCTAACCATCATGGCAAAGATTTGCCAAGGTCAATCCTGCCAACCTACTTTGCTGAGCTAACTAGCTCGGCAAAGGTTTTCCAAAGTTGCTCAAACTTTCCAACCTACTTTGCCGAGCTAACTAGCTAGGCAAAGATTTTTCCAAAGTTGGTCAAATCTGCTAACCTACTTTGCCGAACTAATCAACTCGGCAAAGGTTTTCCAATTTTGGTCAAACTTGCCAATCTACTTTGTCGAGCTAACCAGCTCAGTCAAAAGATTTTCCCAACGTTGGTCAAACTTGCCAACCTACTTGCAAAGATTTTCCAAAGTTGGTTAAACCTGCTAACCTATTTTGCCAAACAAATCAGCTTGGAAAAGGTTTTCCAAAGTTGGTCAAAACTACCAACCTACTTTGCTGAGCTAACCAGCGTAGTCAAATTTTTTTTCCAAGGTTGGTTGAACTTGCTAACCTACTTTGCTGAGCTAACCAACTCGGCAAAGATTTTTCAAAGATGGTCAAACCTGCCAACCTACTTTGCAGAGCTAACCAGCTCAGCAAAGATTTGCCAAAGTTGGTCAAACCTACTAACTTTGTCGAGCTAACCAGCTCGGTCAAAGATTTTTTCAAGGTTAACCAAACTTGCCAAACTACATTGCCGAGCTAACTAGCTCGATCAAAGATTTTTTCAAAGTTGGTCATACCTGCTAACCTACTTTGCCGAGCTAACCAACTCAACCAAGATTTTTCAAAGTTGGTCAAACCTACCTGTAACATGCCCGGGTGGTACCCGTGCGCGTTAAATAGTTCGGACCCCCGAGATCTTAAAATAATTTGGCAAAAACAGGTGTAAGACTAGGATTAAAGTTTATATTCCATCTTTTTACTGAGAATTTTGTGAGATAGCATATTCCTGTTTTCATCATTGAGTAATCAAAAGAAAGCGCCCAAGTCTTAGGGCCGGTCAAAATGGGGTGTCTACACTACCAACCTACTTTGCCGAGCTAACCAACTCGGTCAAAAGATTTTTCCAAGATTGGTCAAACTTGCCAACTTACTTTGTCGAGCTAATCAGCTCGACAAAGATTTTCAAAGTTGGTCAAACCTGCCTACTTAGTTTGTCGAGCTAATTATCTCGGGAAAGATTTTTTAAAGTTGGTCAAATCTGCCAACTGACTTTACCAAGCTATCTAGCTCGATCAAAGATTTTCCTAAGGTTCGTTAAACCTGCTAACTACTTTGCCAAGCTAACCAGCTTGGCAAAGATTTTCCAAAGTTGGTCAAACCTGCCAACCTATTTTGCTGAGCTAACTAGCTTGGCAAAATTTTTCCAAAAGTCCAGACAAAAGTAGCTGTCCCTGGGCCATTCTACCGCTGCTCAGTTAGCCTACTTAGGG